GGTACAACTCAAGCAGCAGCCCAGCACTTGGCTTCAATTCATTTGAAGTTCATTTCTTCTAACTAAGTCGGGTTCCTGGCAAAGCTGTCAAGGGTGAAGCGAGTCCCCATACTTGATCCGAAACCTGGTAGCTCCAATACAGAAAAACCATGCCTGTCCTATTAGCAAACTGTTGATAAAACAAGTTTTTCCTTCCAAGTTGAGGGAAGTACTTAAAAAGAGAAATCAAATGGGAATTGATAGATGGAAGAAACTGGAATAGGCTGTCGAACAGAGAAGACCAAGAGAAAGGATGAGGGGCATGGATTGTTAAAATACTACAAGAATGCTTTAAAAAACTTAAATATTTCGGCTGGCACAGAGTGGTTCATTTTAATTTTTGATCCATGAAATTTTAAATTTAACATTGGCTGAATTATTCAACCATTATGCAAATGGTTCAATATGTAAGATGCTTAATGAAGAAAGGCTTTGAACATCACCTTTATTTCTAAGGAATCCCAAGCGTCCTCACCTGAGCTTCTGAGTATCCACCAGCTACTACTCATACCTCTGTTGGGATATCTCCCAGCATAGGTTTAATAGTTTGTAGTATAAACTCGTGTTTCTCAGTGGGGCCACTCTAGGGATTTCCTCCCAAAGTAGTTCTTCCTTCTGATTGCCCATCTCAGGAAATGGAAACCATCTTCTTCCCCGTTTAGGATATAATCCTTCATACTTTCCTTTCTCTTACTTCCATATTCAGCAACTCAGTTTTCCTTTTCTCCACTGAATCCCTCCTCATCCATCCTTGGACTCCATCTTTGTCTTTCCACCCACGGAGAGCTAGTCTCATCCAAGGTCACTATCATCTTATACGTGGATCATTGCAACAGCCTTTTACCTGGCCTCCTTGTATTCAGAATTGCTTCCTTGATGTCCATTCTCCTCACAGCAAATGCATTAGACACATTAGTCTTTCAAAACTACAAATATGATTATATTTCCCCAATTTTCTTACTTGTGGGTATTTTCTGGGGCCACCTACCAAATAAATGACTTGTACTTAAAACATTGTCTCAGGGTCTGCTTCTGTGGGAACTCAAATTAATATTCCTATGTATTTTTTTTAATATTTTATTTATTTCTAGGAGAGAGAGAGAGAGAGACAGCATGAGCAGGGGAGGGTCAGAGAGAGAGGGAGTCACAGACCGAAACAGGCTCCAGGCTCTGAGCTGGCAGTCAGCACAGAGCCCGACACGGGGCCCGAACCCATGAACTGCGAGATCATGACCTAAGCGAAAGTCGGACGCTTAACCGACTAAGCCACCCAGGCGCCCCAGTATTCCTATGTATTTTTAATACCCATCATAAGGCCTGCGGCCTGGCCTATAGTAGTGTGTGTGTGTGTGTGTGTGTGTGTGTGTGTGTGAGTGTGTATGGTATAGTATTGACACTTAAAAGCTTGGTGGTAAAGGTGGTGATGGTGGAAGTATAGATAAGGGAAGGTTGTTATAGGCTCCACTTACATATAAAGCAGTTTTGTTATTTTTTAGCATTAGCTGGTAATGCTGAAGAGGCATTCTTCCCATTTCTCTTTCATTTGTTGCTTCTTAGACTGCTTGTTGACATTTCCCCAGAGCATAAGGGTGGGTAAAGGGCATCATTTTGTGATATTTGAATCAACCCCAACTATCACAATCATTGTGTCACAATAGATTGAAATTATGTCATGATCAATAATCCAGGGGGCTGGTAAGATCAGCTTTGTGCTTCTAAAAGATTTCTTTGGCCCTGGTGTTGAGAGGGACTCGGGAGAGGGTGAGGGGGGGTGATATTCAGAGGCCACTGTAGTGGTTGAAGAAAGAGAAGGTACTTAAAAAAAACTGAGAATGTCATTTAGACACTTCTCCAGGCTACTGAGTCAGTTATTAGGAAGAGGAAACATAAACCATGCTAGGCATTTAAAAGAGAAAGGCATACAAGGCGGTAGGAGCAAGATCTTACACTCGCAGCTGGTGTCTGGGTGTTGGGCAGCTTGAATCAGGAGAACTTGGTCTTCCTGCCATGGCTGCTACTGGCTCTCCACTCGATGCCCTGGAACTCCGCTGCCCACAGCCCTACACTCTTGCTTCCTTTGACCAGCAGGGGCAAGAACAGGAAGATGGCCTCTGCCTTATTTCTGTCTTCTAAATCTTGTGTGTCAGTATTTACAGAGTGGCCAGAAATGCAAGGAGCAGGCAAATGCATAATAAATGGGGTAATATCATATTACAGTGCATGGTAAAACAATATTGTATGGGTTTCCATACTTTGTGGCTCTCTGTATTTGGTGGACTGTGATTCACCCCACAGCTGTAGCTGCAAGGGAGTCAGGGGACTATAAGTTACGGCTTTTCGGGCTTGGAAGTTTAAGAAGTGTTCTAATTACTATCCTGTGTAACAAACCACCCCAAAATGGAGTGGTTTAAAACATTTATTTTGTTTATCAGTTTGCAGTTTGGGCAGGACTCAAGGGGGACAGCTGTCTCTGCTTCACACAGTGTCACTTGGGGTGTGTCAACTGGAAGCTGGGGGGCTCCAGTGAAGGCAGCTTGTTCCTGTAGGTGGCAAGGTGGTTCTAGCTGTCCACTGGAAGCTCAGGAAGGGCAGAAGGCCAGGACCCAGTTTTCTTTCTATGTGTGGGCTTTGCCACAGCATGGTGGCCCTGTTCTCAGAGCAAACATCCCAAAAGAGCTAGGCAGCTGTATTGCCTTTTATGACTTAGCCTCAGAAGTCACATTGTGTCACTTTCACTGTGGTCATAAGTACACCCAGGTTCAAGGGCAAGGGCCATTGACCCCACTGCTCAATGGGCTGAGTTTCAAAGAGTCCCATGTGGGATGGAAGATGCTGTTGAGCTATTTTTGGAAAAGACTATCTACCACAGAAAGGCACCCTAGAAGGAGAAGTGGCTGCAGGTAGACTCCGTGAATACACAGCTATGACCCCAATTATCAGCCTTTCCTCACTGGCCTTATTTTCTAACAATTTCATGTTTTCTTTAAATGGTTCTTTGAACCTCTTTACACATTGCCATGGGCTTACAACTGATATACTAGAATGACAAAAGGTGGAAGTTTTCTCATTTACTCTCTAAAAAGCCTTTGAAATGCAGGTTTAACTTCCTGCATCCATTAAAACACTTACTTGAAATAGAGGTGCCATGAGAGAATTTTCTTTTTTTTTAAATAAATCTATTTTACTTTTTAAAGATTTTGTTTTATTTTGAGAAAAAGAGAGAGACAGAGAGAATCTCAAGCAGGGTCCACACTTAATGTGGAGCCTAATGTGGGGCTCGATCTCACACCCCTGGGCTAAAATCAAGAGTCGGATGCTTAACCAATTAAGCCACCCAGACACCCCTATGAGAGACTTCTTAATTTAATATTCTTTACTAGGAACCTCCATGCAATAGTTTCTGGTGCATGGCTTCATTAAACAAGTGAGCGACAAGGCAGATATTTCTTGCATCTGTTCATTTCTCTATGTGGATAATCCAGAAGTGAGTCACCTCCTCTAAGACTGAAGCGAGATCCTAAGAATCTGAGAGACATGATGGATGGCACTGCCAGAGGTGCAGCGGAAAGCATGGCAAAATAGCATATCTGGAAAGTTTTTCAAAGCTCAGTCTCGTGGCCTGCTTAGAATGTGTCGCCACAGACGGGCTGAACAGAATGTATTGTTGCATCTGTGACGACTAGTTTCAAGTTTACACCCACAGCCTTTCTTACGCCCACTTCCATATCTTGTTTTACATTTGAAAAATGATTACTGTAAAAAAAGCTTGTAAATTCTAATTTAATGCCAAGGATGTTTAAATCCTTAAAAGTGGTAGAATACGTGTCATTTATATGCTTTAACATTTACTCCTACCTGCTCTAACACACCAATATTGTACTGGTGAAGAGGAGACCTCTAATGGATCAGAACATTGTGCAATTAGCAAGTAAGTGGATGATATTCAATCGGGGCTTATAAGAATAAAAACCGTGTTTTGTTTGTTTTGACAAATATATAGATTTTCCAACTTTCCCTAAAAAGTTCATTTTAATCCAATAAATGATCAACACTTCCGATTCTATGTGCTATGTGCAAGTGGAATTCAATTCTAATAAAATATGCAAAACTAGATCTGCTTATAACAAGATCTTATTTTCCAAGTTCTCTGAATCATTTTACATGTTAACAAATCAGGGAGTTTCAGGCCAGAAATACAAAAATTAAGATTTCTTTGCCATAATAATGAGTAGAATATGTATGTATGAAATGTTTGTATTAATTGCATTTGAAGAAGGAGCTGCCAGAAATTTTCAGGGAGTATCCCACTGCAACCTGATGGTCCTTATGGTTCTGATATATTTATTAAAATTTGTCTTTTATAAAATGCTGACTTACCATACCTGTTACTTAATAATTATTTGCCTTTGGAAGAGATTCTGCAAGGCATCTCATTGATAAATAACCATGAAGGTAAAAAAAAAAAAAAAAAATCCACATCCCCCTAAAAGGTGTTTGTTCTTGGGACAAAGGCCAAGGGAAAACCAGACAAAATAATGAAGGTGACCAATGTACTCTCGGTTCTCAGCTGTCAGCACAGAGCCCAATGCGGGCTTGAACTCACAAACCGTGAGCTCATGACCTGAGCTGAAGTCGGACGCTTAACCGACTGAGCCACCCAGGCGCCCCGGTGCCACCTTGGTTCTAAGGCAAAGTTGCCCAAGGTTTCTTAGTACATGGCAGTTAGGGCCAAATACATCAGGAATAGCAGTTGTGCAGTATCAGTACTGTTGCTGTGTTGTTCTCCAAATTTTTAATTTTGTGAGTTCCCTGTGTGCCCCAAAGCAGAGATTGGGACCCACAGCTCTATATGCTGCTTCATGCCATCAACTTTCCTTTCACTTCCATCATCTCTGTGGACCTGTGCCCACGATTTTCTGTGACACATGCCCCCAGCACAGCACTCCCCAAACAAACGCAACTTGATAGCAATATTTATTTATTTTTGCAGTGCCTTGGATAAAAACCATTGCAACAATGTTGGGTAAGGTGTTATTCTCATAAAAACATCTTCTCTCAAAACAAATGCACTTCTATTTTCCATAAAAGTTAACGTTACATGCTAAATCAGAGTTAATTACTTAGATAACATGGAAGAAATTCAGAAGACTTGCAGGGTAAGACCAGACAATGAATTACATCATTAAACTAAACCATTACACGGAACTAGAAAACTGACTCAGTAGTAAAATATAAAAATCTACAATTATAAATATAAATTTGGTCCATGGAGACACTAGAGCAGTATTTACAGTAAGTATCAGATTATTTCTACTTTAGGTGAACACAGCAGTTGTAAAACATTGAATATCATAGGGAACGGAGTGTTTTATTTACAATCTACTATATTAAAAGTTATATTTCTAGCAAACTTGATGATTGCTACAAATACGGCTAAAAATTTGACACTAAAAACAAACATGTTTTCTGTAGTTGGGAATTCCTAATATCTATAAATTTAAATTTTCTGTTAAAATCAATATGAAAAAAAACCCCACAATTCCATTCTTAGAAATACTGTAAAATTCAATCGTTTTAGTTTAAACACAATAAGTGAATTACAAGAAGTTTTGCAAAAAGGCACACGTTGTTAATGATGTAAATTTGGCAGCAGAATCCTATGTCATGAAAATTACTGTCAGGTGATGGAAAGTAAACAGATAAGAGAAGAACTGCAGTGATTTTTCCCATCCAGCTTTAGAAAGAGGCAAACAGCGCTCAGTGCGGATTCCCCTCGGCCCTTGCGGTGCTACACTAAAGACTCCAAGCTCTCGGCTGTATTTCCGTCGGGCAACGCTGCGCCATTACTGTCCAGAGAGGTGGATGGATTCTCCTCCTGCCTCGTGCTCACAAGACTGAGGACCGCTTTGTAGAGAAACTGATACTGCTCCTGGAAAATAGAGGATGGGAGACCGTAAACAGGGGGCTCAGTGAAGATGCACGTGTGTAAAACAAAGGGATATTTTCAGTCATGCGTTGACACTGTTCACAGAAGGGCATTGTGTTAAATGGTCTGTTAAACTCAGCAGAGGGACACAATCTATATTAATGTCTCTTTCTGAAGAAATTTAAAGTAGTTTTTCAAGTAGCTACTATTCAATTGACCTAGGTCAATTGTAATCGACCTAGAAAATTGGCCAACATACTTTTGCCAGTGTTGTTGGCCAACTTTTTTTTCTTTTTAGGAAAAAAATGGACCATTTCCATTCTTTTTTCTTTTTAATTTTTAAGTTTATTTATTTATTTTTTGAGAAAGACAGAAAGACAGAGAGAGCAAGTGGGGGAGAGGCAGAGAGAGAGAGAGAGGGCGGGAGAGAGAGAGAGAGAGAGAGAGAGAGTTCCAAGTAGGCTCCATACTGACAGCACAGAGTCTGACGCGGGGTCGAGCTCACAAATTCCAAGTTCATGACCTGAGCCAAAACCAAGAGTCGGAGGCTTAACCAACGGAGCCACCTACGTGCCCCAGCGCTCCGTTCTCATTCATTTATGTCATGGAATCAGAAAATGATGCTATAGTTTACTGTTACTGATTTATCAAATGGTATGTAATCCTTTGGTACAAGGCATCTGTAAGCCACTCATAAATAACTTATTCATTCTCCCTTTCCCACTTGTTATGAAATCCCTTGGGTTTATCCATTGGGTTTCTGATTATGGAGACGTTGCAGAAAGGACTGCACCGTCAGCTTGGGCTTGCGCAGAATCCTTTTTACAAGATCCACTGTTTACCAAGTATTCTTCACACTCTACCGGCCTGATGATCCTAGGCCTTGCTTTGAGCAAAGGTGAGCACAGGCCTTGCTATGGTCTCAGAGTAGGGACATAGAAGAATAAAGAGTCTCAGATTAGTTGGTGCTTCTGAGGGTATTTTTCAGAATTACAATAAATCTTGCAAAAAGACGCATGAAATTTCAATTTTATCCATCTAATATTCTGGAAGATAAACTTTAAATGTTTATTGTTTACTATTCCGGTTCTATAGATTGTGGACTGAGTAACTTGTAATCCAGCTTGAACACTACATGGAAATGTTATCAGTCAAGGTGATCTTTTCTGATACATGATGAAATGATTTTGGCAGCCTCTGTGAAGGAAGCGGTACTCTAATGGTGAAGGTTTAGCTCCCTGTTCTATTACTTACAATGTCAGCAAAGACTCCTGGCCTCATCAAATTGATCATCTTGGCTACCTGGTAAACATCCATGGAATTTTCTTTTTCTAGTTGGTGCATAAGGGTTGTCAGAGCACAGAAAGTTCCTGCCGTCACTCCTCCATGCCTTGAAGCAAAGGGACAAAGACTCCATTCAGATGCATCGAACATTCACATTCACAAAGCACGCGGCCTTGACAACTTTGTAGTGGGAATATGGAAATTTTTAATGAAATGTCTCTTTTATCCTGCAGAGAACTATGGTTTAATTTGAAATACTAACAAGTATTTATGATATTAGTAACAGTGTACTTTATAGAAATTTAATGTTTGCTTATTCGTTTGTTATATTTATACTCTGGAAGGAGCTGGCAATAAATCAAAATGATCTGACAAGTTATCATACATATCATATGTAACATATATTACCTATAATTCCAGCATATGCATTCTTTATTTGTTCATAGCAGGAGCCTGGAAAGATTTATTGGATAGGTACCTGTTTCTGATAAATAGACTGTATCAATTTTCATCCTATCTAGTGTGTCAGTGACTGAGAAATGTCTCTCTAGTTAGCACCTGTAAAAATTCCAGTGCCAACGCACTGACTCATCACGCAAAGTGTTCTCAGCATGCAATGCAAGAGCAAATTCTTGTGATCACGTACCTGCCTTCAACAGGAGCCCCAAGAGAAGTGAAAAAGGCTAATTCTGTGTGAACCTTCTTTATAGAAAGCAGATCATCTACCCTGGCTGAATCACCACAACTAGTCCAAGGCATTAGTTTAGGACAAAGACAAAAGAAATATATGCCCATGCAGAGATACTGCCCATTGCCCATGGAAAACAATGCCCATGAAACAGTTTACAGAGAGGAACTTACTCGTCATGAACAATCACAGGCCCATCCCTGTTGGCAGCTTCCTCTTTGATAACACTTATAAGTTCAAAAGTTTTACTAATAGGGCTATCTGGATTTGGCCATTTGGGGCACTGAAAATGTCTCACTTCAAGTACATAATCATCCTATAAGAAGAGAGGAAAATTAATATTTTAAAAATCCCATTGGTGACAGTTCATTATGAATAATTGGGGGAATCAGGAATTACAGGAAGGTGATAAAACCCAGTCACACGTATGCACGCATAGCAGCGCTTGCAGTCCATCCTCCATCTTGGGAGGGAAGAAACTGCTGTGATGATTCGGGTCCCATGTGTAGATATAATCTCTTTTTCATTTAAAAATGTCTTATTTTGGGGCGCCTGGGTGGCTTAGTCGGTTAAACGTCCGACTTTCGCTTAGGTCATGATCTCACGGTTTGTGGGTTCGAGCCCCGCGTCGTACTCTGTGCTGACTGCCAGCTCAGAGCCTGGAGCCTGTTTCAGAGTCTGTGACTCCCTCTCTCTCTGACCCTCCCCTGCTCACGTTGTCTCTCTCTCTCTCCTAGAAATAAATAAAACATTAAAAAAAAATGTCTTATTTGTAGGTTTATTATGGTACTCAAACTTTCAAAGTAGGTACCAAAGTTGTGTCTGTGTCAGTAAATTTAATATAAAAAGAAATCTTCAGTGTTAAAGTTTGTTTTAAACTAGCGTAGATGTCTTCAAAGCCCAACATTACTCAGGAGTAATTGAGTGGAATTACGTGACATGGGGGGGAAATGCTGGCAAGTGGGGGTGGGGTAGGCGGATGGAAATGAAAGTTCTGCTCCAGCCCCACTCTTGGTTCTTGTACAAGTGGCTAACTAAGCTGTGTGACTTTACGTCCCTTAAACCTCCAGCTTCCTTTCAAGTGTAGTCAATAAAATGCTACATTTGAAAATAAGCAGCAGAACCTAAAATTTATATGGTTTACCTGTTTCAGAATTAGACTACAATAAAGTGCCATGTTTAAACCATCTAAAAAATGGTTTAACTTTTTCCTGATCGGTAAGATACTCTTCCTCTCACATGCCCTACTCTTTATTAGTAGTATCTTTTAGTATTTTACTGTAGCTGTACAATAAATTCTGTACTGTAATTATATAAATAATTCTTGGCAGAGAATTCAGAATGATGCCGTATAGATAACCAAGAATTAGTAAAACAATCCTAGCTCATCGTACTGCACATTTTCAAAGCACTTCTTCGCCTACAACACATCATAGATGTGTTGGTAGATAGCGGTAAGCTCATTTTGGTAGATAATATTTTTCTCATTTTACTTAGAAGAACTCAAGGTAAAAACTTACCTTAAAACATGAGAATTTGAATTAATGAAATTATTTTTTTACCGAATTTATTTTCAATGTAAGGTCTATCAGAACTACTCTGGACTGAAGAGAAAGATCTTTGATTTTCTATAGGTGGACGGTATAGTTTAGTGGTGACTGGTGTTTACTGATTCTGTAGGATTTTAAAAATGAAAGTGACAAGTAAGATAAGATTGATTATTTGGGCAATCTGTCTTAATTTTTAAGAAAGTAGGTTCCTTTGTTTTATTTCTAGGAAAGTTCCTTAAACCAGCATATATTTAACAAAACATGTACTTAAGATGAAAAGTTTGTCATTTCAATTATGTCCATACCTGTGTAGCTTCTAAGATAAAATCTTGAATTACAAGTTTTTCTTCGTTAGACAAACATTTGTGTTCTTCAGCCATAAGAGTGACCTTGAAACTCTCACAGTTTATAGGTTCATCTTTATTTGGCCAGTAAACAAATTCATCTTCTGCCTGGAGGAATAAATACCAAAGAAGAGTCTAGATTTCAATCAAATGTTTACTAAGTCAGACTGCAAAATGAAGTTAAGTGGTTGACACAGAAAATTCAAGTCAAATTTTTCTTTGAATCTCAAGATTTACTCTTAAAATGTTGAGCCTTAAGCAAGGCTGGTGTGCAGAATAAAATATTGCACTTAAGAAACCAAACTATTGCTTGGCTGTTTTCCTCTTAGCTCATCAGTAACAATGGTAAGTTGTTGCTTCTATAAATGATAACTGAGTAGAAAAGATTCAAGTGATTTTAAGAGCTCAGCAATTTCCAGTGGCATTTAGAATGGTCAGTCTAACTTTACAGATAAGAAATAAATCTCCAAGTTACATATATGTGCAAAACCTAAATAAAATAGGCCTTTTCTTTTGGTATGTATATAGATCGCCTTAAACTGAGGGACTCTCCAAATATTTTAACAAGTTTTATTTTTAAAAAATGTACATAGACGCTCTGGACTGACTTCACTCATGATTGCTATTCTAATTTTTGATAAGCAGTATCACAGAAATCTTAAATTTAAATTAATTTTTAACTTACTTTTTTTTTTTTTAAAACTGTCATTCAACAATTTCAGACCTAGGAGGTGGCATGACCCAACCAGGCCCAACAGCAGACAACAGTAGACAAGTCCGCAACCAGTGATAGTAGTTTATTAGTTGAAAAGAAAAAAAAAGATTTGTTTGTTTGCTTGGACTGCCGGCTGACATGACTTGCTACTGCCCCTGTAAGGCAAGTACCAAAGGTGATGTGAGGTGGTGGACTTACCATATTTTGACCGTCAGGAAGCATAACTACCAGCTGGGCATTATGGTCCCATATCATCCTCCAGAAATCCTTGATGGTATGAAGGAGAGGATGCTGGGTGATGATGAATTCGTTGCTCTGATAGTAACCCTACAAAACCAAAGAGAAGATACAAAGAAAGTGCCCTGGCATATGAGTTTAAACATTCAAAGTACATTTATAAGTTAGTGGACCTTAAGTCAAGGCAGGCTTTTTATGTTTAGATTGCGTCTGTAAATGACGATGTGATTATTACAGCTGCTGTTTAAAGGGCACTTTCTATACACCAGGCACAGGAGTAACATTTTCTTTTCTTTTTTTAAAATATTTGTTTGTTTGTTTGTTTGTTTGTTTTTGAGACAGAGAGACTGCGTGAGTTAGGGTCAGAGAGAGAAGGACAGAGACAGAGAATCCCACGAGGTGCAGAGAGAGAGGGGAGAGAGTGCAGAGCCTGGAGCGGGGTTCGAGCTCACCTGAAATGGGGCTTGGGCTCACAAACCGTGAGATCATGACCCAAACTGAAGTTGGATGCTTAACCAATCAATTGAGCCACCCAGGAGCCCCAGGAGTAGCATTTTCTTCCCTTAAGCCCCTTATACCTCACAGAAGTACTATGCGATAGGAACTGTGATCCCCATTTTACAGACTGTTAAAATGAGGCTGAAGAAGTTAAGGGTTGTGGGCACCTGGGTGGCTCAGCTGGTGAAGCACTCAACTCTTGATTTTGGCTCAGGTCACGATCTCACAATTTGTGGGATCAGGCCCTGCATTGGGCTCCGTGCTGGCAGTGCAGAGCCTGCTGGGAATTCTCTTTCTCCCTCCTTCTCTGCCCATCCCCCACTCATTCTCTCCCCTGCTCTCTCTCTCAAAATGAATAAATAAACTTAAAAAAATTAAAACGAAATACGTATTGTGCCCAAGTCTACACAGCTATCACCTCTAGGAGTAGGCTTACCAAATGGCATGTGGACCATGTCTCCTAAACTAAATAGAATGGACATTCAGAGGAGACTTTATACTTCTCACTTTCCATAAGCGCCAATGGCAAAGTGTTAAATTCACACCTATCGACAACAGAACACCCTTGGTGTCCAGGCACCCCGGCTTCCTCTATCAGGCAGGAATCAGAGAGGCACCTTGCAGATTTTGCTGCAGACACCCGGAAGCTGGGGCCTCTGGATTGGTCATGATTTCCATGTTGTTGCTTAATAAAGTGATGGCTCATTTGTGCTCCTCTGCCCTGTGGTCTCTCAGATCCTGTTCCTATTTCCCATGGGCTCATGTGAAGTGCAGCATGTATTTAGTTGCTACCACCATACATCTCCTTGTTTCCTGCATGGATGTTCTTAGATATTTTCTTTGCTGGATAAATGAAACAGTGATTTTGGCATGGGAATTACAACCTTTTCATACGAAGCCGAGCTCTATGATTGATAGACCTGAAATAGAAAGGAGGGTCACGCAATGGCTAACAAAAACACTCTCCCCTTTCTCATAGAAGATGTAAACACAGAAGGAAAGTACTATGTCTTTAGAAATCTGGGTCTCCAAATGAGTCCGGTCTGCAGGGTGAAAACCGTGTGGCAAACCTGGAGTGGTAAAGTCAGTGAGATGGGCTTTCCAGAAGCTGGTATGCCTTGGGTCTGTTCAGGGTAAATGCAGTGCAGCCTCTTAGTTGGCCAAGTGTATATTGCATATCTTCTCATTAGTCCTGAATGGTGAATTTGCTTCCTGCATTTACTATTTTGTCTTGCTTGAGGGTTCTCCAGTCCAGCACACAGAAAAACATCAAGGAATGCTGCTGTTCTATGTGCTGTTGTGGGCTGTGGTCTGCAGTCATTAGATTTGACCTCCCCACCAGTGGTGCTACAGCCACTGCTTCAGGAAAACCATTTTGGTTTTGGACCTGGTAACACAAACTAGTAGGTAGTTCCTCCGGCGACTTCTCAACTTACCATGATGTAGGAGGCATTGATGTAGTCTGTGCCTTCCCCACTCAGAGATGAAATGCCAACCCTTGATCTCTCCACTGGAACACAGAATTTTGTCATGAACCACCATGCTCACAAGCTCTGTACCCTTACTCCCCAACCCCACATTGCAAATCTTAGCTGCATGTCCCAAGTTGAGTGGCTTTGATCTGTAAGCTAGTCTTTCTATGTATTCTGCATGTTTTAGATGGACTTCAGGATTTAAGAGTCCTTCTAAAGAGGTACATTATCAGGCATAATTAGAAAAATACTGAGTGAATCAGTCCATTCCAAGATGTAAAAATATTGTCATTTTTTCTCATGATTCAACGTAACCTACCAGGGATGATGGAAGAAGTTCTGTTCTTTTCCCTGTTGCAGTGCTTTAGGGCTGTAGAATAGTCACTCTGTTGTATATTTGATTGACTTAGGAGCTGAGAAAGGCAGTCAAAGAAAAATATAGATTATTTCATTTAAGTCACCCAAGTACACACACACACACCACACACACACACGCACACGACCCAACCAAGAAATCAAGATAAGATACCGAATATACATATATCTGACTTGTTTTCCAAGAATTCCTTGAACTAACCCCCTGGCACTTCTGTGTTCTACACTGGGAAGCTCGAAGAAGCAGAGAACATCCTTTAGTTTGACATTGACATTCAGCTCTGGGAGGATCTTCCCTACGGATTCCTCTTTAGGTGCATACTCTCTACATCCTCCACTTGCATCTCACACTGCAGTTGGAGTAAATTGCATGGTATCTGTGTGTATGTGTGTGTGGACATATTGATGCATATGGTTGAATTTCATTCACTCATTTAGTACTCCATTACATGAATAATCTACTTGCTACTTATCTATTCCCCCAACTAGTGAATGTTACGATTACTTCCAATATTTTGCTCTTCTAAACTTTGTAGCAATGACTATCTCTTGTGTATTTCTTACTGCATACACATGGAATTAGGAGTCATCAGCATTATTTTTGACAGTCTGATAGATGAAAAGTGATAGACCATGGTTTTGATTTGCTTTTCCTTAATTACTGTTTGATCGTGAATTTTAGCATTCATTAGCCATTTAGATTTCTTCTTTGATGATTGCCTTTGTATATTTCTACTTCACTGTCATTTGTTAATTTGTGGGGGGGTGGATGTCTTGAATTTAAGTCTATAATCTGTTTAAAAATTTGCTAATGTCTTTGTTCTATTTAATCACACAGACATCACTGCTAATTAATTAATTTTTTCTTTAAGATTTCTGTCAACTATGTTTTTATTTAAGATGTTCTTTTCTACACTGATGTCTTCAAAATATATATTGCTAATATTTTCTTATAATTATAAAACCTTACTTTCACCTTTAAGTACCTAATCCATCTTGAATAATTTTAGTGCTTAAGGTGTGGTTTTACTTCTTTCCACTAAATTATCCCAATATCACTTATTGGTTAGTCTGTCCTTTCCTGCACTGATTTGTCGTGTCCTATCTATCATATAACCATTTCCACATAGCCATGGTTCCTCTGGCTGATTTGTCTGTTTTTCAGCACTAATTATCAAATCTGCAGAAGTCTTCCATATACTGTACAACACATTTTTATTTTGTTCTTTATTTTTAGTACTGCTTTGGATGTTTTTGCTCTTTATTTCTCCAAATGTTAATTTTAAATTCAGTTCTTAATTTCCCATGAAAAATCCTGCTGGGAATTTGTTTGGTACCACAGTGATTTTTATACCTAATTTCGGAGAATTGACAACCTCAGAATATTTCCATCCATGAAAATTGTATCTATATTTTTAGGTATAATTCTAGGCTCTTCAATTCAGTTTTAAAATTTTTTCTCTATGCATTCATTGCACCTTTTGTTAAGTTTATTTTTGAGACCCTAGAGATTTTGTTTCTGTTTATTGTTGAACTGGCTCTTTTTGTTCTAGTATCTCTGCTAACAATTTATAGCTAATGAGTTACAATGCTACTGATGATGTGATATATACTTGTTGAACTGTAATAAGAGTTGAGTTCTAATAAGAGATATCTTGCTTCTCTTGATTTTCTACATATACAAGTGTATCATCTGCAAATTCTTTTCTATTTCTACACTTTTTTTTTGTTTGACCTGATTTCTAGGACAATGTTGACTAACAGTGTCAACAGCTAGCATTTCTTCTTTTCCTAAACCTACAATGAACATTTCCAAGTTTAAATTTTGTATATGACATTTATATTGTAGCCTAAGATGAAGAAAGCTTCCCTCTAGTTCTAATTTACTAAGAGTTTTTGTTAGGAATAGTAATTTTATTTACTGCTTTTTCTACATCTTTTTTTAAAAATATAATTTATTGTCAAATTGGTTTCAATACAACACCCAGTGCTCATCTCAACAAGAGTCCTCCTCACTGCCCATCTGCTTTTCCTACATCTTGTGGAGGGCCATACAATTCTCATAACTAAATCTGTTTGTGTTTTCTAATGTTAAATCATCACTTCATTCTTGGAACAAACTCTGTGAATCCTAATTGGTCACAATATTTTTTTTAAAAACCACGCTGCTGGATTTGAGTTGCTGATATTTAATTAGTATTTTTGTGTTTAAGTTCATAAGTGAAACTGGTCTGCATATCTCTTTACTTGTACTCTCCTTATTATCAGTTTGGTATCAAAGTTATACTTGCCCAGTAAAATAGCTGGGTTTGCTTTCTACCTAGATATTTTACCACAGAGTTTGGAACTTTTTGCTCCTTAGAAGTCTAGTAATTCTTCCAGTTCTGACTGTATTTCGGAAGTGAGATTTTTGGCAACTGATACAATTTATTTAATGGTTCTTGGTCTAGTGGGATTTTGCATTTCTCTATGAGAGTATTTTGCTTACTTTTTCTTAAAAAAATATTTCTTTCCAGGTCTGGGTGGCTTAGTCATTTAGCGTCCAACTCTTGATTTTGGTTCAGGTCATGATCTCATGGTTCTTAAGTTCGAGCCTTGCGTTGGGCTCTGTGCTGACTGCATGGAACCTGCTCTCTCACTCTCTCTCTGTTCCTCCCCTGCTTATGCACACACACTCTCTCTCAAAAATTAATATATACTAAAAAAATTCTTTCATGTAGGATTTCAAATGGATTGTCACAAATATGTTCACAGTATGCTTTTTAAGTTTAGAAAAACATTTCTAAAATATTTATAAATATATCCCTATTTTTTAGCTTACTATTCATTAGTGCATAGCCTCTCCTTTCCTTACTAATCTGGCCACAGGTTAATTTGTCTTATTAATCTTGACAGAATCTGCATTTGTTTTTATTTCACCTCTTTCTATTTACTTATTTTAACCTTCTATTTAATTTAAGAAAGCTTTAGCTTTTCACAATTTTTCTGTCTCCCTCTTTGGGAGTACCATGCTTTTCTTCTAACTTTAACATGACATGCCTATTTCATTGGCTTTTATTTTTATTTATTCTCAAATGAATATATTTAAGGTTATAAATTTCTTTCTAGATACAACTTCAGTTGTTTCCTACAAACTGTGCTATGTAGTGCTTCTGTTGACCTTTAATTCTAAAGATCTTATTATTTGATTTTTAATATGTCAATTATGTAAAAGAGCATTTTTATTGTCCAAATACCAGGATATCTTTAGGGCAACTTTTCATTTCAATTTCCAATTTTCCTCTATTAGATTCTGAGAATATGGTTAGTACCGTATAGATTCTTTGAAATTAACTCTTCTCTTTCCATTGGCTATTTAACATCTTTATCTTAGAATGTGTGTACCAACAAACACACACACACCATGCCCATGCACGCGCGTGCACACACACACACCCCATGGCCATGTACGCGCGCGCGCGCACACACACACACACACACACCATGCCCATGCGCACGCACATGTAAATACACACACACACACACACACACACACACACACTCACCTCCTGTGTCACAGAAGGAATAGAATCCAGAGTATCCCTTCAGTCTGCAGCCTTGGAGCCCATACACTTATTGCTATAGCTACCCGCTTAGGTGTCCCTGTGTTTGGTCCTTAATCCCTCTCTGCCCCTTCTTAGGATTTCCTCTCCCTCTAAAAGTTTCTGTTCCCCTACTCCTACCCCCCCCACCATAGATCTCTTTCCATTAGTTTTTTTAAAATAATAATTTTTAAGCTTATTTTTGAGAGAGCAAGAGAGAGAGAGAGAGAGAGAGCATGTACAAGTGGGAGAGGGGCAAAAAGAGAGGGAGAGAGAATCCCAAGCAGGTTCTTCACCGTCAATGCAGAGCCCAATGCTGGGCTCCATCTCACCAGGAAATCATGACCTGAGCCGAAATCGAGAGTAGGATGCCCAGCTGACTGAGCCACCCAGGCTCCCTTATTTATTTTTTTAAGTCAACTCTATTCCCAGTATGGGGCTCGAACTCACAACCCAAGATCAAGAGTCACATGCTTTTCCAACTGAGCCAGCCAGGCACCGCACTTTCCATTAGTTTTTAAATAAACTCAGACACCACTCATTAAAACATAAAGAAAGAAACAAACAAACCAACCAAAAAATTTCTTAGTTTCTAACTTCAAGTTTCCTTCTAGCCATCATTATCATTCTCTTCAGAGTGAAAAATATTTAGAGTCACCTAAATGTGGTCTTTAATTGCTCACACCAATTTCTCCTTACCTTCCTGCAGTCTGACTTCAGTGCTATCCTTCCCTGAAGTAGCTTTTATGGCTCAGCCCAATGGCCTGCTGTCCTCATCACACCTGATTTGTCAATAGAATTTGCCACCTTTGTCTATTTCCTCCTTGAAATGTAACTTCCTTCAGAGTCTATTATATCCCCACTGTCACAAATTTTCTCCTACACTCCTACTGTCCATTCATTGGCTAATTATAATTTTTCTTAAACCCCCCCTTCGCAGGCCTTCTTGGCCATCTTGTCCAATTCTAAGGATTCGAGGAGCCGTCTATGCCAATTGTTCTCAAATCCTTTCTCCAAGCAGACCTTTCCTTTGTGCTTCCCACTGAATATTCAACTGCCCTCCATGCCTGTTTACGCAATGCCTCCTGAGTTCCTAAAATTAGGCTGGTTTGGAACAAATTTCACCATCTCCTCCCCCACCACACCTACCAAGAGTGCACCTTTCAGTCTCAGTGAACAATGCGGTCTCAGATGCTCAAAGCAGAAAGCGGGTAGGGAATGCCTGTCCTTTTCTCTCCTCACTGCAATGTCCAATGAAGCACCAAGTCCTGTGGTCAACCCTTCACTATATCCTACACAACCCTTCCCTGAAGAGTCACATCCTACAGCACCCGTTTCTCCTGTGTGATGGCACTTGTCCCTTGTTTTGTATCTGTTTTCTTGCCTGTATGTCTCACTAGATCAAGAATAAGAGCAAGAGTCACAAGAGCAGGAGCTGGGTGTGCTTTTTTGAAAAAAATCACGTTTGTATCTTCGTATCAAACACAAAAGCCTGGTATGTGGCAGGTGTCTGATAAATACCTGTCTTATTTTTAAAATGAGGTATGACTGACATACGTTATATTAGTTTCAGGTATATACCATAATGATTTGATACCTGTATACATTGCATAAAATAATCACCACAGTAAGTCTAGGTAACATCCCTCACCATACATAGTTATGAAGTTTTTTCTAACGACGAGAACTTTTAAGATCTATTCTCTTAGCAACTTTCAAATATGCAATACAGTGTTTGTTATTAATTATAGTCACCATGCTGTACATTATACCCTTATGCCTTATTCATTTTATAACTGGAATTTTGTACATTTTAACCTTCCTCACCCATTTTGCCCACCCTCTACACTCTGCCTCTGGTAACCATCAATCTAGTCTATGTATCTATGATTTTTTTATTTCCACATGTAAGTGACCTCATATGGTATTTGCCTTTTTCTGTCTGACTTACTTCACTGAGTTATTTCTGACTTACTTCACTTGCCATAATGCCCTTAAGGTCTATCCATGTTGTTGCAAATGGCAAGATTTCATACTGTTTTATGGCTGAATAATATTTGATTGAATATATATATATTACATTTTCTTTACCTATTCGTCCATCAATGGGCACTTGAGTTACTTCCATATCTTAGCTACTGTAAATAATGCTGCAATGAACACAAGAGTGCAGATATCTTTTTGAGTTAGTGTTTTTCTTTTTTGCAGATAAATACTCACAAATAAACAAATGTAATTTATTTCAAGGAATTGTTCCTATAGATAGATGAACTTGAATGACTAATGTCTTATAGGACGGTGCACATACACACACACATACACACAACACCCTTTTATATCTGCTGGGTAATGTGTTAACAGGAAACAAAATCAAATAAGATTCTTAAATAAGATTCTGGCTTCAAACTGATATGTCCATTTTGATCCTGGGTTATCTAGTATAACCATATCAGTTCTTTTATGCAATTGTGTAGGGGTAAGTCATATTTAAATGAGAATTATGTTGAAAATGGGTAATGCTTATATATTTTTAAATTTAGAATAAAGCTATCCTAACAACCTAATGCTGATGTTTTATTATATATATATTTATATATTTATTTATAATTATAAATTATATATATATAACTTATATATATATATAATATTATTTATATATTTATAAATCCTTTATTATTTATTTGTAGAAGCCAAATTGCATACTTTTTCTTTCTCTAAAGTGTTTTATTTTCACTCCAATGAGCTTTGCGGAATAAAAACATTTATGTCTTCCAGATGGCATGTTCAAAGCACAGCGTTCACCCCTAATCTTTCTCTTACTTCTCCAAAAGCACAAAGGGCGCTGACTGAGGTGACAAAAATCAGAAGGAAGTCCTAGTGACTAACATCTTTTACACTGTAGTGTGGGCGAGAAGAGGAAAAAAAAAAACCACCCTGCAACCTCAAGGTTTGTCAACTCTCCTGGGTTTTGCCAGGGTCTCAAATTCTTCTCAGATATTCCTTCTTCAGAAATTGGCCCTGTTTCTCTAGGGATCTGGGGAAGTAAGAGGTTAGTAGAGGAATAAGGTGGAGCAAACACACAGCCTCCATTCCATAGGAAAGTCACTACTGTGCAAATCCCCCTTAAACAGCTAGAGGGTCCGGTAACATCTGCTTTCTGAATTCTTTGCCGGCTGATTTCTGGAAGTCAGAGAAGTACGATTGTAGAAGGTACGATACTGAACCAAACATACTCCCTTCTCTAGCTCCCTGCTTCGTGACAAGGTGGGCGGGGGAAACTGGGGGTGAAGAGCTATTGTTCCGGCGTGGCCTCTTCTCTAGTCCAGGGGCTTCAAGTGAGACAGATTTTTCCAAAGAATAGCTTGGACAGCCTGAGCCGGAGTACTCCTTGTTAAGTGGTCTGGTTCTTTCAAAGGGAAAAGAGCACTTACAAAGTCTGTATGATGAGGTGTGCCTGTCCCTCTGTTATGCTCTGTGCCCTCCTTTCTTGGACCAAATTTACACTTGTAAACATTAACCCAGACTTCCTGAAAACTTTTCTTCTTGCTGTCAAAATTAAGATTCTCCTTGAAACTTACCGCGTGGCTTTGCTGCCCACTCTAAAGAATAATACAAAGCCACTGTGGAACCGTGCTCTGAACCCGTCCACATGGCCTTGTCAACTCAAACGAGAAGATGCGGGAACACTGAATTGCGTGCTAACCTCGAGGAGAACTCACCTTGAATTGCTTCTCTAGCTTCGTTTTGCCTGTTGGTCCAGGAATGAGGAGCGCATTGACATAGGCATGAATGTGGCTGTCTGGCACCTCGGTCTCTTTACTAAGTATGGCCTCCACCAGAGCGTCATGAATAAAAACATACTGTTCCTGGCAAAACAGTGACAATGAGGAACATTACTGCAGGTTTTCTTTATATGTATCTACATACAAAAGTAATTTTTTTCACTGACAGACAAAAAAAGTTTTACATAATGGCGGGGAGGGACCCACAGAAGAGTGCTCACTAGTCCCACAGGAAATCCGATGCAGGAAAGGAGGCAGTCAAGACAGAACACAACTCCCCTCTCTACTTCTGATGGACTGACATTTGGGGGAGGGGGACGAAGCAGTGCTCTCTCTCCGCCCCTCCTTCAAACCTGTGACCCTCTTCCGTATTTTGCATGAGGACTTTGCTGGCTTTTCTACTTCTCCAGGGTCTTCTTCTGTCCATTCCCACCCTCCTACTAGCCAGTCAGATAGAAGGTAGGCCAATTTTATGTCCAGTTCTGTCTTCTGTTTCCTTTATGGGTCTTTTTCTTGGTCTAAGCTGACTAGTGTGTCATTTCCTTCATGGAATGAAGTTTGGTTTTGATTTGATTTTGGCCCACACAGCAGTTTGTCTTTGGCTGCTCTCAAGCTGCCATCCATAGTTTCCAACTTCAATTCATTTTTATTTAGAAATAGGGGAAAATACAGATATGCTGACTTTGTCCTGTGTCAGGTAAACTATAGATGATAAACTCTATGGACTTAAAAAAGGATATAATTTGAGCATAATTCATACTTTTAAAATACGAAAATGAATGCATTTAGTCACTGCACGCAGGAAAACCTTGAGGTGTTTGCTAGCAGGCGTGGGCATTGCCTCATCCACTTCTTTTTTTTTTAATCTTCTCTATCATCAGTGTCGTTCCAAAGATACTCCCTATTTAGTGACAAAATAGACAAAATATAGCTGGCCCACCTGTGACATACAATGCAGTCACCTGGTGTTACGGGTTGAATTGTGTCCCCAAAAAGAGATGTTGAAGCCCTAACCTCCCAGTACCTCAGAACGTGACTATATTTGTAAATAAGGCTGTTGTAGATGTAATTAGTTAAGATGAGGTAGTGACTGTTGTTCTTCTAAGAAAAGGAAATCTGGACACACAGACAGAAAAGCCAGTCATGTGAACACGGAGGCAGATACTGAAGTAAGGCTGCTTCATCCAAGGAACACACGGGGCTACCAGAAACTCAGACAAGGGAAGATCCTCCCCTAGAAGCTCCAGAGGAAGCATGGCCTGCGAACACCTTGACTTTGGACTTTTATCCTCCAGAACTATGAGGCATTAAGATTCTATTATTTAAGCCAGCCAGTTGGTAGCACTTTAATACGGGAGCCCTATGAGACTCATCAACCTAGTAAAACAAAGTCTGGTCCATCCACCTTTAGCATTTGGGTGACATTTCCAACCCTTAAGATAAATCAAAGTATCCTTTTTGGTGGGGGAGGGGGAGAACAACAACAAGAGACAGTGTCCTTTTTCTCATACCTCAGTTTGCACCAAATAATTTCTTTGTGAACGAATGTGTTTTAAGAAGCCAAATACGTTGACAGTTCCTTCCTGTTGAATTTGCTGCAACATACTGTCCAGCACAATGTACGTGCCTGTTCTTCCGACGCCAGCGCTGAAGAGGGCACAGAAAAGAACCATTTCAATGTCAGGTCAATTACCATCTGAAGAGGGGTCACTCCTGGTTTTCTTGTAAATTAAAATAGTTTTCTTCCCCAAGCGACCGAGCCACATAAGAAATAGTTTAGCAATCCAAAAGTGTAAACAGTTTCATTGTTAAGCATAATGCTTCGAAGAACAAGCAGTTTACTTTTTATTTTTGGCTTCAGGTCAAACTGTAAAATAACCTATTTCTGATGGAGATTACTTATTTATTTACTTAGGGACATTTTTAGTTTTCAATAATTATATATTTATTACTCATTATATATTATACAATGAAAGCATTACACATCAGAGCATAGCAACTAGACATTTAATCTGAGGAAACTGAAAGCATCAGCTTCACCCAACACTGAAAATAAAAGGTCTTGGGTCTGTATTGCTGGGTACACCTGTTTGTAAAGGTTTTCATATTAATCGGAAAAAGAATTTGATAAAGCGTTCAGCTGAAAATATCATTTCAGTGAGATGGTGAGGACGAAAGCATAACTTCAGTCATTTCTAAAGGGCCATTATCTACGGACTTCTTCAGAGCCTCTACAGGAGGGACAGAATTCACAGGCAGGGATTCTTTTCAAATGCTCTGACAAGTAGGAAGTACTGGAGTGGAAAATTAGCACCTGCTCCGTACAATACCCTGGTCCCTCTCCATTTGCTAAGAAACAATCCCTGACCTTCAGAGCTCTTTTTCTTGCATTTTCCTGTTTCTCTCCGCTTACCATGAGGCTAACAGATGAAAAACCTCAAGGTAAGTCTCTCAAACTTTGTCTGAGGGTAACTCCTGAGATAGGTAATTAGAATGTGTCCAATAAGCTGTCTATCAAAGGAAAACACTTGCTTCGGTGAGAACACAGACACCGCTTTGACAAAAATACTGTGCACAGAATTTGATTTCTGTGGTCGCTAAGTTCAGCACAGATTCAGCACTCAGTAAATGTTAACTGTTAATTTTATTTTAACCGAAAAATATTCGATTAAAACCTCCGACATACTTTTTTCTCTTTCTTCAAAATACCATTCTTCCTATTCATCAACTTAGTCTTGGAAATAAAGAAATTGGGTCATGATGGGTTGATAATCCCTTAATATGATATAATAGATAGAACTCGGGAAAACGAGAAAAAGAATTTTGATCTGATAGGTTTAAAAGCAACAGAAAGGCATTTTGCCAAATTCTTCACCTTCTGTGAGCTTTGGTTTCTCTAATATAAACCTGACATAACAACTCTACAATAGATTACTAACTCCTAAGAATAGCGGTTATGTCTCAAGCACTTTTTTTCAAGTTTATTTCTTTAGATAGGGACAGAGAGAGAGAGTGAGAAAGAGAGGGAGTGAGTGGGGGAGGGACAGAAAGGGATGGGGGACAGAGGATCCAAAGCAGGCTCTGCACTGACAGCAGTGAGCCCCATGCAGGGCTCGAACTCACGAACCGTGCGGTCATGAACTGAGCCAAAGTCAGATGCTTAACCGGCTGAGCCACCCAGGTGCCCCAAGTCTCAAGCACTTTTATCCCATGACATTATGTTGTAATAAATGTTTGTTTATTGACAAAACACGGTTCTTCGTGTCTCACACATTTAATAAGTTAAAGTCCGATTCAATAATCAAATAGAATAGTAAACATCATAAAAATACCTGGTGCTTTGAAATATTTAGCAATCAAATTCTGAGTCTGGTATACCCACTCCCCCGTGATTAATATTTTTGAAAATGGGCATGTAATTTCGTTCCCCTCACTTTGTGAAAGTATTCCAATTTGGCAAAACCGTTGCTCCACGGCTTCCCTTCTTGTCAGCAGAAGACTTTCTGGGGGTTTTGAAACGCGCCCCGGAGACTCACCTGCAGTGGACGACAACGGGCCCCACCGCATGGCGCTTGGCGTGGGACGCCTTCCTCACGAAGGTCAGCACTGGCAGCGAGTACTCTGGCACACCCATGTCAGGCCACTGCGTGTAGTGGTACTGTGTCACCACACGCCCGCTGGGTCTTCCTTTCTGGGAGCCCTGAAAGAGTTCAGACAGCTTGTAACCGGGACACGTACGAATGTGCGCACACACCAACACACACATGCACACACATGGGTCCTTCAGCATCAACGTGATTTTGGTGGTATATAAAGAAGCAAAAAAAAAAAACATCGTCATTTATGATGGTTAATTTTATGTGTTAACTTGGCTAGGTTATGGTAGTCAGTACTTTGGTCAAATACCAGCCACACCAGATGTTCCTGTAAAGGTTTGTTTTGTTTTCCAAGACTGTTTTTTTTTTCAAGACTTTTAAAAAATAATCTCTACACCCATCATGGGGCTTGAACTCACAAGCCCGAGATCAAGGAGATCAAATACTGTATACTCTGCTGACTGAGCCAGCCAGGTGCCTCCTTGTTGTCAAGGTATTTTTTAGGAGTGATTGGCATTTAAGTGAGTAGACTTCAGGTAAAGCAGATCACAGTCCCTGATGTGAGTAGACCCCATTCAATTAACTGAAGACCTTAAGAACAAAGACTGAGGTTTCCTGAAGTAGAAGGAATTCTCCTGGAGACTAAAATATAAAAACCTTGCCTGAATTTCTGGCATGGGGTCAACTGCTTAAAAATCTCTCCCTCCCTCTCCCTCTCTCTCTCAATTTCTTTCTCTTTCTCTCTCTCTCTCTCTCTCTCTCTCACACACACACACACATTTCTCTGGAGAACCTGATTTATGTATCACTGTTTTCTTCCCCTTCCCTAAAATTTTCATCTCCCCTATTTCCGGTTGGATGTGCAGATGTCACATGGGGCAGTAACTTTCCTTTGTGGATCAAATCCACTGCAGCCACTGGCCCCATGACCAATCTGGCTCCAGAGCCTTGGCTGGCATGTAGAGATTTAGCAGAAACCTTTGGGAATGAAGTATGGTTGTGATAAGAACTCTTTTTTTTTTTTTT